TTAGATTTGTATTTTTATTTTATAATTCATGTGAAGCTATTTGTCTGGCTGCATGCGTAACTTGCGTACCCATGTAAGTTGTATCATGACTTGATCTTTTATGAAAGTTGACTACATTTATATTTGGTTTCAGTTTTGGAAAAGAAATTGATTAATTAAAAATATTCTATTATCTAAGCTTTCCTTTCTAAATACAGTTTATTGAACAATCCTATGTGGTCTCAGGATAGGAAGAATAGGTAAATAATGACAGGACAGGATGAGTTATAATGCTAAACGGCTTGTTCAAAGTTACTCAGTGAGGTAAAAAAATAAAACTGTATGTTTCTCATTTCAGTATCCTCTCCTTAAGTAAAAAAGTAAATCACAGTAAATGTTTAAAAGAAAACATTTTGTTTTAATTAAATACACTAACATTACCTCCTTCTTCAGAATATAACTAAATCAAGTGAATATTTATGTAAAAGAGAAAATAAATTCTTACAAGTTCAGGCACCTTTGTTTCTCTATTTTTATTCTTATGATATCCTAAAAATAAAAAGCTAACTGAAAGTAGAAGTATTTATTTTATATAAGTCATACAACTTTGTATCCTGGTAGACTTTTGGGGAAAAGAAGTAGGTTGTATATATATATATATATATATATACGCGTATGAATATTGATATATATGTATATTGATATATAAGATATGTCCTCTTGCAGTTAATTTAAGCATAAAAACTCACACTTACTTCAAAATAAATTTTAGCAGGTTGAGGAATAGAATTCTATCGTACACATTGAAAATATTTTAAATTTCATCACCAAGGAAAATGTTTGTAAACTGTATAATTGATATAATCAGGTTTACACTACATAAGTAGGTAGCAGATATGGGTGTTGGTATAGAATACTAGACAGTGATAATCCAAGCCAGCCAAATAGCAATACTTTTTCATTCTTTTCTTATTATCATTAGTGTATTTCCTAGTCAATTAAATGAAGTTATTCAGCCAAGGGTCAGTTATTTTCACTAATTGGTTATTCTTGATGCATTTAAAAAAATGTTTAGGTATTGAAATTGATTTGGTGAAGAGAATTACATTGCTGTGAAATATCTTGGTAATCCATTTATGATTTGAAACAATTGACTGAAAGAAATTTACTTGCCCTTTTTCTTCTGTAATCTCAAATGTAGCATGAGAAGTTATCTTTATTCATACGGTGATAGTGATAGACAATGGTTGTGCACTGGAATCTACATAAATCTCAGAGTTTTGTCAAATCAATCCTGCTGATCTTTGTGAGTTTAGGAAAAGTTTGCATAGATTATTGCTTTTTTCTAAATCTGGTAATTGAACTATGCACAAACACATACAAATCTAAAGATAACCTATCCCTTTGATTAGTTAACTTCATTTTTCATTATCGTTTATCAACATTTTAAAACAAATTATTTTTCAGATCGTCTAATTAAGACTGTGGAGAGAATGGCATCCAAGTGTAATCTGTTCACTGAACTATCTTGTTTTGAATTATTTCCATTTAACTTAGTGTATGTTTGAGTGAATGTATACCCTTATGATTAAACTGGTAGAAATCAGAAAAAATGTATTGCATAATACTCCAGTATGAACTTGAGACTTGTTTGCTATATTTACATACTAATCTAAGCCCTTTTTACAAATTAAGTCATTTAATAATTATAACTCTATGAGGTAAGTGTTACTATTATCTCCATTCTATAGAGGAGGAGATTGATGAACAATGCCATTAAACAGCTTGTCACAGTCACAGGGCTAGTATATGCGAGTGCCAGTTTTCAAATACAAAAAGTCTACATCCAATGTTTATACTCTTTCCCTTTGCTGTTTCTCATAACTGCAGAAACTCACTTTGCTGACTTCTTATCATTCAGAGCTCAGCTAAAATATCACTTACTCAGAAGGCCTTCCCATATCAACCAGTCTGAACTGGTTTTGCTGCATCATCCTTCCCACTTACATCAGTGTTGATTCCATGATCTGGCTTTCTTGTTTTAATCCTTTATAGCATTCATTAATATTTAAATCCATCTATCCATCTATCTGTCTATCTATCTATCTATCATCTAATAATCTACTCACTCCCCTACTCCAGATTGTAAACTCCTTGAGCAGAGAAAAATTCTCAGTCTTGTTCAGCATCCTATTCCCAGTACCTATACAATGACTGGCACATTATAGATAGTTATTAAATAATTGTTTCAGTATTTATATAATTGAATAAATAAATGTTATATTTGTAAAATTAATTGGATTTTTGTGAGGCCTGCATACCATGAAACACTTCAAAACCATGGGGATTCAAAGTTAGCCAAAACTAGGTTTGAGCTTCAGCTCTATCACTTTCCAGATGCATGACCTTTTACTAACTATTGAAGTTTTAAAAGATTAACTGTTTAAAATAGAAATAATAAGCATACCTACATTATACAGTTGACTTGAGGCTAAATTCAATGATATTTGTAAATTTACAGTATATGTTACATAACAATCACTCAAATGTTTGCTTTACGTATTATGCAGAGAGTGATCCACTTGGAAGGGAAGCAGGGTGAAACACAGAAGAGCATCTAAGAATGAGGCAAGATCAGACTGATCACAACAAAAGAAAGCTTTGTATCAAACTAAGTCAAAACCAGAATTGAAAGTTTACTCTATAATCACACTCTACTAATATTTGTTAGTTTCTAGAGGCCTAATAAATTACACCCCTTTATTCCTTTTTGGGGTTTAATCTACTAAAGGGATATGTGTTAGTGTCAGAAAGATGGTGATTACAAGTGGAGGATGTGACTGAGATATGATCCCAATCTTTTCCTTATACTTCAGCCCATTAGAAAACTTATCCCCCCACTCAATGCTGCAGGAGTGCCCTGGAACATTATCATGTGGATGAGGAAAGACTGCCTTTTCCAGCCCAGCAGATTTGAAAGAGAAGGAGAAAGGACCAAGTCCTGCTCCTTTTCTTAAATCCACCCATCAGCTAGATCATGTCCATGTTTAGGAGAGGCTCTGAGGTGGGAGAGGGAGAGGACAGTCTTTCCATTCTAGTATTTCCAAGTGGTTCTCGAACAATTATTTATTATCTCCAATATTTGTGTTTTAGTTAAGTGAACTACATGTGGTTGGTTACAAAGTGTTTGGCTTTTTTCTCAACTAAGTTACTTATCATCTTCACAAAATGTTAAATGAATCTGATGAGTTATTTTTAAGAAGAGAGAAGTACCTGATCAAGATGAACCTCTAGTCGATATTTCAGGCAATCAGGCTGGTGGGTAAGCAACGCCGCTTACACAAAGTTGCCCGGGAAAAGCCTGTTCGCGCTTCAGCGCTTCATGTGTCACTCACCACGGAGAGAAAAATGGCTGCTGGAGCAGAATCAACACTACCTGTTGAAAAAATTTCATCCTCAGCACAAGGAAATGGGATGACATAAAAATCTTCTCTGGGAGATAAGTATTTCCATCATTAATAGAAAACGTTCACTTTTATAGACATTTCGAGAAACCTTTTAGAATTTGAATGTGCTAGCAGACAAGTACATTCTGCTTAAAACCACCTTCAACATTTTTTTTGCCTTGTCATTACAGTAAATGTGAGTAGTGTGTGCAGTGTTGTCAGCGGCCACTGACATGGAACGTTGTAGTCCCTTGTCTCTGACTAATCAGCTATGAGATGTTAGCTCTTTTTATTATTTTTGAAACCGCTCACATTAGTGTAGTAGACTTTGCACACTTTATGTGGTTCTACACCTTTGAAACCTCTCTCTGTACCAGCTGGGGCATCTTCACTGCCAATTTGTTACTGGTTCATTACCATCACAGGTTGAGTTATCTGATAGAATGATCCATTTGTTTGAATAATGAACCTTTCAAAGAAAAGAGATTTTTCCATGTTTTAATTATTAATATTTATATTAAAACTATATTAAATTTTAACAGACGAAAATAAACATTATTAAAAATGTACACATTATTGATTTTGTAAACTTGCATCATTATTTTAAAATCAAAATTTTATCAGGGGCTCCCAGTTCTTAAGCCACCATTTTCAGAGTATTCCAAAGACTTAGACAATTTACTATTTACTTTTAGTATAATTAAATGGTATCAACATCAGACTGCAGCGGTATAAGTTGCATACAGGCAGTCTTTACCATGTTAACTGAATCCCTTGCTTATTGGAATCATCTCCTCAGTTTGTGCAGGTCATTGGTAACTGAGCCATGCAAAGCGAGGACACAGTTCCAATATGCCCTAGTTTTGGTTAATTTTAATAGTATAATTTTCCTCTTTAAGTCAGCAAGTTGGGCACAATCAAATATTTCCTGTTGTTAAGCAATGTGGAATACTTTTTCACAGATGAATTCTCAAACTGGGTAAAATATTAGATATGGACATCTAATATTTACCATTAATAATTTATATACTTTTCATTAACCTTGATTTTCTCAAAGCAAAAAATATAATCAGTACTGGCATAGTGTTTTCACTTCATGTCACAGTGGTCACCCTTGATTTTGAAGTGTACTTGACTTTGGGGATCTTTAGTTCTGTCCACATATGTGTTTTTCTTCTCTAAAATTGTTAAATTTGTCTTGAAAGTGACTGTAGAACATTTATCACCTCTGACCCATTCATATTTTTTGAAAAGTATACCCTAATTTCAGAAGAATAAAAGAAAAACAGGAAAAATTGCAGTTTAATTTAAAAATAAGAATAATCATCTAAAGATAATTTTAAATACAATATTCTTATAACTTTAAATGCATAACAACTATTTTAATTTTTACGCATTGTGTTACACATACATAATCTTTATATAGTTACAATGGTATTACTTATATCGTTTTTAAATTTAATAGGTCCTATGTGTTTCCCATGTTTTTGCAATGTCTTCATATTTTAGATTTTGAAAATTTCACAACTTACTGTCTGAAAAAAGTCACAGCTTGAAGGGAATGAGAGGGGGCAATCTGGGCCTGGGTCCGACATCTACACAGCTGACTGCTCCTCAGGCTGGGCGTTCTTGGCCAGGTGCAAGTTCTATATGGAATTACTAAGATCTTCCAGCGAAGGCCTGCAGCCGGCCTGACTGGAAATCTTTGAGCAGGTTCAGCAGTCCCCCCTCCATCTCAGAGACATCCGTCACCTTGGTCAGGAAGGAGTGCTGCAGGGGGGTGCCTGCAGAGCCGCCCCTACCTCCGGCCAGCACTGGGCGGCGTTTCTCCTTGCCTACCCTCTTGAACTTGGTCCACTGCTTGAGGGATGGCAGATGAGGGAGTCCCAGGGCCAAGGAGCCACTGTGGCTGGTGGGCACAGCGACCCTGTGTAGTGTGCCTGGGGCCTGGGCTGGCTGGGTCAGGCAGGGCTTGGGACTCCTTTTCTTCTTCTTGTCCTTCACTGGGTGCTGGCTGAACCTCAGGCCCTGGGAGGGAGGCAACCCTGGAGGTTTGGGGTCTGGAGAGATGCTTCTGTGTCACCACAATTTGTTATTAATCTTTATTTTTACCATTGCCGTGAGAAAATCTTACCTCAGCTATTCTGCTGATCGAGGAGGTTTGAGCAGACTTGAGCCCACCTGATAGCAAGAAGCCCAGCCCAGCCAGACCTGTGTCATGAAGCGAAGTCACCCAACTAAGCTCTGTCTAGATTAGCCACCCTTCAGACAAGCTCTGTTTTGCACTAATACTGACTGATTCATTGTCAAAACAGGTATTTTTGGAAGTCCTTTTTTTCTTTTTGTAAGAACTACCACTGATATTTACTTTTTAAACAGCAGCATCTATACCATACATATTTCTCCCTCAACGTCTCAAATGGTAGTGTCCTGTAATAACTACTCAGTATGCTTAACCAATAATAATGCACACCCAAAGTTACACATTGTTATAAACCATTATAATCCCGATACAATTACTCTACAAAAAAAAAGGAAAATGAGTGATATTAGCAATATGAAACATAACAAACCCACGAGTTCAATAAATTAGGAAAGCAAATGCAGATAGACCTCATATAATTTATACAGTCCCACAGGCGTGTGAAAATTCTTACTACCAACCATTCTAAATGACATAGGTCTATCATAATCTTTTAATTATTTTATATAACGATTCAACAGCTAGTAAAGAGCTTGAGCTCATACTGGATATTCAATAAATGAATTGAACTGATTCTTTTGTCTGAAGCAAACATTTTTTGAATTATTTTGTTTCCAGAAAATGATAAAAACTATACAAATGTAAAACAATGCAATGGCACAGTTCTCAGATTTCAGAAGAGTCTAATCAAATGATACTTTGTTCTTCCATTTATAGCTCCTCTATCTATCCTTAATTGTGTCTTAGGACCTCTTTAATAGAAAAAAAATAGAAATAGCCACAATAGTCACATCCTCTGCCCTTTCTAATCTCTCTTTCATATTACTACTTGTGGAATTATCCTTCTATGAAACAAAAATCTGTGGTTGTCACTTCTTTGGTTAAAAATCCTTAGTGCCTCTGTAGGCAAAGATCTACAATATAAATTTTGTTTTGTTTAGCACAAAATGTGGAGGTATTCCCCCACCTTTTTTAAAAGTCAATCCTAATGTATACCTTTCTTTGTTCTACCCATCTAGCCTAAACTCCCACCATACAGTATACCTCATGCTTAGTTACATACTATTTTCTCTGTCTGTTCCTGGTTTATCCACCAGAGAAATTTCTACCCATTTTTCAAAATCAACACAAATATCTTCTCTGTGAGATTGACGCTCCTGTTCTTTATGCAGAAATATTTCCTCTGTTGTCCAGGCAACCATGGAAATTTGTCATATTTCTATTATATTGCTTACCATACTATGTTTCCATTTCTTTGGTAATCCAGCTAGAATTTGTATAATATTCAAGTATAACATTTTATTCTTTGTACACTTCTGGAGAATTATCAGAATTTAATATAAGATAATTACTTTGTAAATATTTTTGAAAGCTTAAATAAGTTAGGTAAATCACCTTGAGGTCAGTAATTACCAAAAGGCACTGTTTTTAACTTGATAATTATTTGAAGTTATTATATAGTTGTTGCTTATAAGGATGTTGCTGACAAAGTCTCAGCTATTTGGTGTTATCATTTCATAGGCTATATAAACATTCAAAATAATCATCAACACAATTATTCAAAATAAATGTCTTATTCCCTATGGGATTTTTGATAAGTAGCTGTTAAAAATAACTTATATTAGTAACTCTTATTACAGAAAATATGGTGAAAAATATGGTTCAAGCATGGCACTGAGAGCCTATGTATATACTTTTTATTAAATTCTGCATTTTTGTTTCATACAAAATATTTATATTTCCTTGTTATCAACTTTTAAAGTATTTTGATTACAAAAACAAAATTTATTACTGAAAAATGGAAAACAAAAATTTAAAATTTACTCATAATTGCTTTACTCAAGATAGAGGTAAACACTCAGCATTTACCATATGTTTACCTTTATCACTGTCTATTAATCTATATTTTGGTAAACATGAGACCTTACAATATATGTTGTGTTGAGATCTGATTTTTCTACTAAATTATATATTCATGAACATATTTCCATAGACTACATGTAATTCTACAGCCCTGCTACTGAAAGTGTGGACCATGGACAAACAGCAGGGGCATCACCTGGTTGCTTGTTAGAAATGCAGCGTCTCAGGCACCTCCTCATTCTACTGAGTCAAAAATCTTCATTTTAATAAGATCCTTGAGTGATAGCATGCAAATTAAAAACTGAGAAACCTTATGCACAGCATCATTTTTAATTGCCATGTAGTATTCATTTCGGATATATCATAATTTATTTAACCACTCTCCTGATTGCTTTTCTTCATTACATGTGTCAAATAATATTTTCTTTGGTTACATAATTCTATTGAGTGACTATCACATAGTTTTCCTGCTCTTCTAATCTCCAATTTATAGAGAGTTATGTTCCTTTTTTTGATTACCATATGTAATTCTAAGGCAAACACTTTGTGTGTGTGTGTGTGTGTGTGTGTGTGTAGGAGTTTTAGAGAAACTGAAAGAAACTTGTGTAACTAGAGCCCAGGTCGGGCAGAATGAGACTACAGTGGTGATAAGGGAGTAGGACAGAAATGAGGCCGTGTCCAGATTTGAATCGTTATTCTCACAGCATTAGGGAGTTGTTGAGTGGTTTCAAGCAGATGAGTGTCATAATCTGATTTGCATTTTAAAAAGATCAATCTGGCTATAATGTAGTGAAGTAGATTTTAAAAGAGAGATGTTGACAGCTGGGGTTGGGTGATGACAATGGAAATGGAGATGAGGGACAGATAGTTAGGAATTCAAATCAAGATTTGGTGATGGATGGACTTTGGGGGTGAGATGAAGTGTGCTGGGTGGTTTGTGGATTTCTGGCTGGAGAGATGGGTGGATTGTGGTATGATCTAGTGAAAACTAGAGAAGGATTAACTTTAAATATGGAAAAAAATACTTATGAATTAACTTTATGTTGTGATGAAGTTGAAGTGCCTTGAGACAGCCAAGGGAAGCTCCTCACTTATAGTCTTTCCACTGCAATTGGAGTGTTTAATGAATGTTATTATTTTTATAGTTTTTTTTTTTTTCCTTTTTCAGAGCTGCTTCTTCTGCCATCTGGCTTACTTGTAATTTGTAAGTACTCTCCATTAGTAAAACCTTGAGAAATGGTCCTAAGAATTCTCATGCCTTCCAAGCTATTATTATTCTTGATTAAATCTCCATATGAATGTCCATGTGCTTTGATATCCTGAAGATAAAACACCCTGATGACACTGATGTTCACTCGTATAAACAGTCTATTTAGTTGGGTCTCTGATATAATACCCATTCTTTCCTCTCATCCAGGATCTTGATATTTTCTTCTAGTCACTGACTGAAGCTGTTTCAGCCCAGATTATGCACTGGGATATACGGTGCTGCCAATTAATCAAACTATAATTATTGCTTCTGTTCAGAAACTCTGGGCTACTACACTCTATCTATCAGGTCAGAAAGTGATGAGCACATAAAGATCTTTAGTATCCAGAGTTAAAGTGCACCAAATTCCCCTGGGTGTTGGGACTTTCAGTGCTGGCTTGGTTTCACAGCTAAAATAAACCATAGACATTTAATCCAAGCTCAGGAGGCCCCAAGTTTTTTCCATCGGCCTATCATGCAGGCCGCATGCTTCATGGTGAAGCTCCCTCAAACTATGACTTTTATATTTGAGAATAAAAGATTACCAAAGGGGACTCTATCTTTAAATTTATTAAAATTTTTGGTACATAAAGCGTGCTCAATGTAATTGAATGATTGAAGTCAGATAAAGTTGTACGACCAAGTTACAGAATTTCGCATACCTCCAGTTTAAACTAAGATTTTGAGGCACAGTATTGAATATGCAGAAAGAAGGTCATTATTTTAGCTCTTCTAAAACACTAAGGATTTAATTTAAATTGTGGCTCAATGTTATAAATATGGTGGATACAATTATTGGGGTTCCCCCTAGAGCATTTCTTAGATAAGCAATTTTGGGTATGAACAAACTCTTGTTATGTGAAAGTGAAGGAGCTGTCTTTTCCATGTTGTAGGTAGGAGGAATTCACATTCATCAAAGCCTTCTTTGAATGACTTTTGATAAGAATTAGCCAGAATAGTAAATAATAGGAAAGGGGTACAGATTTGACAGCCTAATTCTAACTTTGAAAACTCTAAACAAGAAGATAGACACTTAGTCTTCCATGGCCAGTTACTGATGAATAATGCATTATCACTAAAAAGGGACCAACCTAAGGTACGATCATGAAATTCCCATTACCGTAAATCTCATTACGGCATAAGAAGAAGTTTTTACCCAAACAAAATAATGAATTTTCTTTCTTGAGATTCACATGTAAGAAGTAACAGATTTCTAAAATGTGAATTAAAATTCTCATCCTCAGAGGAATATATTTGATATACTGCACTTCTCTGCAACATTCAAAAATCACTTTGATTGATGTGGAAGTTCCATATGCAATCTGTACAACTTGAATTATGTATTATTGAATTGACTAAGAACTTCTGTCAATATGCCCCAGTTTTTATTTTTTAAGTGAACTAAAGATAAAATTATGATGGCTTGGATTTTTAATTACAGAATCTGGAATTTCAGTAATGTACAGTCCAGTTTAATTGTAAAGTTTTGCCTACTGATTCATTCAGTTATTAGTGAGATAGCATTCAATTACTTATAATATTCCTTTGAAAGTAAGATTTTAAGCTACTTCTCAAACATATAAGAATCAACATTTTGTGTTATTTTTTTCTGCATTTGAATTGACCCTGAATAGTGTATGCTTTTCTTTCTTAACAGTTATCCATTTACCAAGACTTTGATAAGGAAATAGTCAGAACATCCCTTTTTGTCATCTTGTTTTACTAGTAGCCAAATTGAATACGTTCTTTGATATTTACAGGGATAATTATATTGTAGATAAAAAATTTTTTTATACCAATGCCCTTATTTTATGACAAAGGTCTCATATACATACACAGTTACATAAACCTGAATAACTACCTCTTTTGGGAGAAGGATGAATTACTTGAAATAAGTACTGAATTTGGAGTTAGGGTACCTGGAGTTCAGCCCTAATTCTACCACCATCTGGGGGTACTTTGTGGTCTTATGCAAATCACTTAATCTCTGATATTAGGTTCCCAATGTCAGTATAGAGATAGTGTTTAATTATCAGTTGTCTCTCAGCTGTGAAAATATATAAAACTGTGGGAGATTTTACACATTTCTTTGCACGTCCATTGACTGATACATTGTGCACAATTATTGCTTGTACATATGTTTGTAAACATAGACTTCAATAAAGAGTAACTCGTACATGTCAGAAAGAAGAGTACAAAAAACCCAATGGGAAAATGAACAAAGAGTATAAATAAGCAAGTCAAGGGAGAGAAAAATTGGATGGTTTACAAGTATGTTACAAAATGAAAGTTTACGCTCATTACAGAGAAATGTAAATGGAACGGTAATAAACAAAGATAAAGAAAAATAAACAGAAGCTGATCTTTTTCCAGGGGAATGGAGAGCAGAGACCATGACAGTCCAAATGCTATACACTGGCTCTTGCAAATATTAGATTTGGTAGCTCTTTGATCAGCCACATTGTCTATTATCATTCTGAATTAGAGAAAAATAGCCTTATTTTTGAATGTTTTGAAGTCAAATTTTCTTTGTCTTAAACTTTAAACACTCTTCTATTATGGTTACCACTAGGCCTACCATTATCATTGTGGTTTCTTTAAGCCACTGTGTTTCTTTATAGCCACTGTGTCCTTGGCTATATTTCTGTTCTAGTCTTAAGCTTAGAAGTTCACCAAAGCATAGCAGACAGGCTAAAAGATAGAATGAGGAGCAGACTTTCTAGGTTCACACCCTCACTCATCACTTTGGCATATTACTTAATCTCTGTGTTTCAATTTCCTTATTTGTAGAATAAGAGAGATATCTCACCAAGTTGCAATTAGGGTTAAATGAGTTAAACATGACAAGTACTAAAAAAGAGTTGATATGTAATGAAAAAGCTGCTATGTAATTAATAGTAAAGCAAATATTGCTGCTGAGAACATTAGTAAAACCTTTTTCTCAGAGGTTCAGGGAAAACTCTGTCCCAACTCAAATATTCACATTCCCAAACTTTACACAATTTCAGATTTAACTATTAATTTTTTTAGGACATATGTGAATATAATCAACCACTATTTTTTAAGAGCTGATTATTTGTCAAGTATTGTGGTATGTACTTTCAAATGCGTTGAATTAAACAAGGAGGCAAGTAGACTGAAGTGGCTCTAATGCCATGGTAGTCTACTTAAGTAACCTGAAAGCTAAGCCTGTAAATGCCTTAAGGTTTGAAATCGGAATTTAAGGACAAACAATCAAAAACAGCCAACTAGGCTTTAACCTGTAGCCAATCGATGATCCTTGCTTTTTTAAACTCTCAAAAATTTTAATGTGCCTCAGTTTATCTTTTAACACTTTATCTCAATAATCTCCAAAATAACTCTGTTATACCATATTGGTGATGAAAATGTGAGGCATCAAAAAGGTAAATTATTTCATAGGATGTGGTAAATATCTCTATTACCACTAAGAAGAAGAATCAGAAGGAGAAGGACAAGAACAAGAACAAAAAGGAAAGGAGGAGGAAGAGGCGGAGGAGAAAGAGGAAACATGGGGGGAAAAAGGAGAGGGAGGAGGAGTAGAAGGGGGAGAGAGTGGAGGATGTCAGCAAGTAAAAGACAGAGTGGAGAAGAGGAGGACCACGAGGAAGAGAAGAGCACAGAAACTGATACCTAAAGAGATGGATAAAATAGTAACAGAAACAGATGAATGTGAGTGCAGAAATAACCCATAACTACGTTGGCTGGTCTCTCCTTCATTCAGGAAAAGGGGGCTTTTTAATGCTGCCTAGTGATCCTATCATATTTCCCTTGGGATATAGTACCATGCTTTCTCTGGGACTTTATTTCCTCTCCCTCCTCCCCTTGCTCTCCGTCTTCCAGCTACACTGGCCTCCTAGCTGTTCCTGAACGTGTGAAACACACCTTCATCCAAGGCTTTCGTACCTGTCGCTCCCTCTGCGTGGACTCATCTCCCCAGCCATCTGCAAGATGTCCTGTTCTCTCGCTGCCTTCGGGACTCTCAAATGGCTCCTGCTGAGCAATATACTGAATTGTACACACACATTCTAGTTACATTTTATCCCCCTTAAGCCTCTTCATTTTCATGGCACTGATTGTTACCCAATATAATCATTTGCTATGTGATGTAAAAAATTTTTACCTGTTTTCCCACAGTGAGGGGCACGGTTTTGTCTTGTTCACTGCTTTATCTACAGCACCTAGAAGAATTCCTTATCCACAGTAGGTACTCAGCATCTTTTTTGTTATATGAAGGAATGCTCTTATTTCATGCCAAGCTTTGCTCCAAGTGCTTTACATATCTCATCTCATTTAGTTCTCACTAAAAGAGTTAAGTACTATTGTTATGAGTTAAGTGCTATTGTAACTTGCGTTTTATGTAAACAGAAGCTAATTTAGAGATGTTAAATTTCTTGCCCAAATCCCATAGCTAATAAGGGTTGGATAAAGTCAAGTCAACTCAGTCCACTGCTAGTACACAGTGCAACACTTGGATCTAATATCTAAGTTGCAGAACTGGATTTAAATGATGAGTTTAATTCCACTGCCAGTCTGACTCAGTACTCCTTTCTAGATTCTGTGCTAGAGTGTTCTCACACATTTTCAGCTTTAATGATAACAGTAAGCTTAAAAATATCTATTATTCTGTCTGGTCTGCAATTAAGTCTCAGAAAAATTTTGACCTGAGAAATGCATTGAAATTAAAAGTGGCTTTAGAAAACATTTCTTCCTCAATTTGAAAAAAAAATGCACTGAAATCTTTCTTACATTCAGTATGTAAGGAGAGAATAACGCTAATCTGTGTTTTCCCTAAGGTTTTCTTAAAATTCAGTACATCTCTTAAAATGAAACTATTCCACAATAGATTGATTTAAGACAGGAGCTTTTTTAATATAGACTTTATTGGTCCATTTATTCTGTGACTGTTCAACAAAACTTTTACCTGCCTGTGATTTAGTTTGAATGTCGTTTATAATAATTACATATCCAGCTGGCTGCCATTTAAGGCTAGAAAATAGATTCATTTTTTCCCCTGAATTTTCTGTAACATATGCATTACCAGTAAATAAAATGATTAAAATATCTACACAAAGAAAATATCACTATATGATTTACTTAAATTGACAAAAAGTAATGGAAATATTATTCTGGCTGCCACTCCACCCTTATTACAGGTCATTATAGTTAGCAAGCTTAGGCAATTAAGTTATTCTATACAATATTCCTAATACAATCCTGGGGACATTTAAAACCAGCCTGGGTGAAGTATTACAAAGTACATTGAAAGGAGTAATTTTGCTCAGGCAGGGAGATTTATTTAGATTCAATACATCTTTTCTTTTTCCCTGTCATTGCTCCTAATTTTTAAAGGACAATTGTACAAATAATAGTGTGCCTATTATTTTTTTTTGAGGAAGATTAGCCCTGTGCTAACTACTGCCAGTCCTCCTCCTTTTTGCTGCAGAAGACTGGCTCTGAGCCAACATCCGTGCCCATCTTCCTCTATTTTATATGGGGGACACCTACCACAGCATGGTTTGCTGAGTGGTGCCATGCCCCACCCGGGATTCCAACTGGTGAAACCCAGGCTGCTGAGAAGTGGAACGTGCACACTTAACCGCTGTGTCACCCGGCTGGCCCCTCTTTTCTTAATTTAAATGATTTTTAGTTATCGGGAACTGTATATTTGGGGAGTGAGAAAGAGGAGAATGTGGGATACATACCTGGGGAGCAGACTACTTGTTTCTAAAACAGATTTCTTAGCAATTCTTAATTCTTGACCTTGTACACTCTGCTCCCTGTCCTCTTCTCCAGTGCATTCAAACACAGCATAAGGAGAAGTGGACACCTTGAAACCCAGGAAGCAAGCTTCTCTAGCACGAAGGGAATTTAGGTAAAAGATGTAGAGGACGGACACAAACAGTAGTCACCCTTCAAAGTGGATACAGACAGTACTCGTTTTGCATGGTTATCCAGAACCACAAAAATGACTGTGCGTGTTGAAACCATGCAAAGCAATCTTAATAATCGTGGGGAAAAACTATTATTTTTCTGTTATCCTTAAACATTTTTGTTACTTTAAAAAGTCTCTTACAGACTGTCATAAATTTATAGAGAAGTGAAAAAAAAAGTGAAACTAATATTTATTTAGTACATTGTAATTTTAAAAATTAGAAACATTAACAAAGTATTTGTTAAAAACTTACAGAGGGGGCCGGCTCTGTGGCCGAGTGGTTAAGTTCCAGCGGCCCAGGGTTCGGATCCTGGGCGAGAACATGGCACCGCTCGTCAGGCCACGTTGAGGTGGCGTCCCAATCCCACAACTAGAAGGACCTGCAACTAAGATATACAACTGTGTACAGGGGGGGTTTGGAGAGATAAAGCAGAAGAAAAAAAAAAAAGATTGGCAACAGTTGTTAGCCCAGGTGCCAATCTTTAAAAAAAAAAAAACCTTACAGAGTAGTTTGAACAGTTCTTGCCTTTTTCTTCTTGCTGAATAACTTACGATTTGGAATCAGTATCTCTTCTATGCCTTGACAAATTGTCGTACTCTTTTCAAAGTTTGAATTGGCTTCCAATGTTCTACCAATTGTGCTTTCAATATTGTGAAATATCCTCATGAATTCATTTAATGTGAAGGGTTTTTTTTTGTCAGTGTCGCTTCCTCTGGGACATCTTCATTCACTTTGTCATAACCACTTTCCTCATTTATGACGATAAGCCTGCCTTCACTAAATTCCTATGGCTTCGTGTGAAGCCTCTCAAATGTCAATAATGTCAATGTTCCCAAAATTAGCTCTAACTCCATTTACTTTTGATTTATATTTTACTTTTGGTAAATTTTTGTTTCTTTGATTCACTCTCATCCTTGTTCACCCATTCCCTCTTTTGATTATTCATTTTTGCGTAGTGTTAGGTATGTTTATTGCTAGGAGACAAGGAGGCAATGCAACTACAGGTTTAACCATCTGTGCATGAACTGAATAACAGACATGGAATGACCAGTCACCAGCAGACGCTGAAAGAAGTGTTGCGATTGGTCAATAATTACGATGCACATCTGTTACTGAGGTAGTTGATCTGTGGACCAACAATCTAGCAGCAAAGTTTGTACTTTATGCAATTGCCAAATACCACGGTAACTAAAATTTAAACCATGCTGTTGAGAGGACTGTGTTACTTATATTTAGCTATACAGTGGTAACTGAAATTCATACGTAATGGACTGTGCAAATCAAGGCCTGACTGATATATTGCTGTTATGCTTAATATTACCGTTGGCATCTTCGTTCTTACTACTGTCTTTTATTGAATGTCTATTATGTGCCAGGCATTGCTTGGCTCTTGCCAAACATTATTCCTTTTAATCTTCACATGAAATCTATGTGGTATTATAATGTTTATTTTGCTGATGAGAAAAACCAGGGTATAATTACTTGAGATTTTTCTAAGGTTCTTCAGTAAGCAGCACCAGCCAGAACTAGGCCAATCTAATTTCAAAGCTGATGGTAGCTGGATTTCACATTATTAACTCCTTTTTATTTAGTCAATAATAGTTTCCTATAAAATAAGCTTTCCTGAGCCATTTATAATTTCAGCTGGGGCTTATGAGATAATTCTTCCTGGGCTAAGAAGTTTCACTTATTTCCCATCTGTCTTGTGAAGAGGTAACTGATACCGGTTATGAAGGTCCAAATGTAACTATGTTTTATTAAAGCTTGCTCTAGGACTGTTTATTCTGATCCTCAAAGCCAATGCTACAAAGAAATTGCAGTGTATTTTATCACAAAACATCTAATTTGAACCATAATAAGGCAGTGCTCAATGACCCTCTAGAATTTGAAGTCCACTGAAATTAAATTATTTCATTCTCTTCTGTGTACTGCCAGTGTAGTACATAGAATAGTACAGAATAGGGTGAACTCAGATGAGCTTTGGTTTAATCAAGGTGCTGAGTCACAATGGGCTCTCTAGCCTAGATAAAGCTTTCTCAGGCAGGAATTTCAATAATACACTCATTAATTAAGTTATTCTAGCCTAGAAAATAGAGCATCAAAAGTATAGAGCATTCCCATGTCCTTTCCTACCCTGTTTGTCTTTTTGTGTTGGTTCAACATTTATAAACTATACATTCCATTTTTTTTTAGAATTCCAAAACGAACTTCATATTAGCTAAAGTAAGCATTGTTACAACTCGTGAGACTGATTAATTCAGATTATTAATTTTTGGGTAAATTTTGTTTAAATTTCAACTTTCATTTGAAATGATAAGAAAATGCCAAGTGTAAGGTGATGTGAGACCAATCTGGAACGTTTCCTGATATCTAAGATTAAAAAAATTCATCTTCCCTAAGTGCTGTTTGCTTTTTCTAATAGTGAATTAATATTTGTGTGATTTAATTTAACTCAGTGAGGCTGTGAAGCCTTTAGAGCATAGTGGGGACCTCACAAGACCCCTTGTCACCCAGCTAGTGCACTGAGTGTGATATGTTCTAGACAGTTCCAGAAAAAGCTGCTTCTGACTAAGTTTATGGAGATGATGGATGGATTTTGTTTCCCAGGTCATTGTTCTTGATGAGGTTATTTTGGGGATGAAGTCTATGAAATGAGATTCAATAAAAGAGAAAACCTGATGCTTTTAAAACACTCAAATAAAATCTCTAAGCTTCTTAAAAGCAGTCTAATCAATGTCTATAAAGTGATTATATCACTGTGTGGTATAAAATACTCTCAGTTTTGTATTTATAGTGTTATGTTAAACTGTTTGTTAACACATATCTCCTGATATTTGCTATCACACTCAGAAGAACAAGTAGTCATCTTACACCAAGCTGATGTGTTCTTTGATAATATGTTCAATCATTTCAGGGCTTCTCATATATTATATGTTCCTGCAATAAAGCTGGTTTCTTTATTACAACGTATACCTGTTTTTATTTTTATTATAAACCACCTTATTTTAAAACAATATCATCACAAGGAATAAAGTGCTTGGGTAATTTTATATTTTGAGTCCATATGGAGTCTCTTAATCTGGGCGTATGTGCTTGGGGAGGTCTATGGCTGCACTTTGGGGCTCCTGGGATCTGCCTGTAATTGCATATAAAATTGCATGTGCCTTTATGCATTTTTCTAGAGAGGGCTTTCACCTGGTTATCAAAAAGACTGAGAAAGACTGCTCTTGCTAGGCTTTAATTTTATTCTTTATTTTATTCTCTTACTCTTAGAGGGCGCTTCTCCATCATTGACCCAGTTGCTGGTCCTCTGTAATCAACTCTGGCCACCAAAGTCTACCACAGTATTGTCCCCTCAGGGTGCATTTGCAGGCTCTGTCTCAGAAAGGCCACCCAGTCTTGCCCGGATCTCAGTTCCCAGCTCTGCCTCCTCCTTCAGCAGATCGTTGTGTGCACCATGGCCTGCCTCTCACCTACATCTAGACATCAGTTCTGCTTGGCTAGAAGGAAAAAAAAATAAATAAATAGAAACTTTGCTATGCCAGCCTTAAGTTTTATATAATTTGGTTACATTTCCTGTCTTTTCATAAAATAAACAAATATATTTTGTATTTATATTTCAAACTTTTGGTGCCTTTAAAAAAAGAAATCTTAAAAGGAAACAGAAAAAACTTTCAGTTTAGGAAAAAAAATCCCTATTTGTGGCATATTTTACAGAGGAAAACATCCTTCTAGGCATGATAGCATATATACCCTTCTGTGACAGAGCAAAGTTATGAAGCCTATCCAGGCATCCAGCTGGAGGTGATGGGTTAACAGGCAGTCTTCTGGAGTAATATTCTCTTCCCTAAAACTGACTAACTGTGTACTAGATGCGTGTTGTTACCTCCTCAGCATCTGTTCCTCCTTTGTCTGATAACACACCTTCAATTTCCAACAAGAAACACTCCTTCCCTCCCCTCCACCTTCAAGGTTTGAGTGAGGGTGATGCTACGCCTCATTCATAAGCCCCTTAGTGTACCCATCTCTCTGGTCACAACGTGACCCAATTTAGAAAAAAGAGAGGCACATCCAGGACTTTTGTTTAACTACTGGAAGAGAAAAGTTCACTCTACCCAAACTTCTCTCCTCTCTGCCAACTGCTGATCTGGACCTGCTATGCAAATCTTGTACCCTGAGGGGAAAAAATCTAGCTGAGGATAACAGCAACACTTGGAGGAGAGCAAGACTGAATGGAGAGAAACTTAACAGAGTCCTGAGGGTCCTGATGCTGTTTTTTGAGCCTCTGTATCAAACTGCACCTGAAGCTGGATTATTTAGTTAAGTGCACCATATATTTCTTATTTTTCTTCATAAGTCAATTTAATGTGAGTTTATCGTGTACCGTGGAAGGAGTCCTAGCTGATGTATGAGGCTAGATTTAGGTCAAACAATGAGTTTGGAGATATTTGCATGTCTGGAGCCTCCCTCTCCACTCCTCCTTTGCTCTTTGGCGCTCTTGTCCTCATAGCGTCCAGAGCCTTGCAAGCTGGTGACCTCATAGGCCTGCACTTCCTGGCAATGCTGAAGTATCCAGGCCTTACTTGAGCCTCTTGCCCATGAGCTAATTTTTCTGTTAATCAAAGTCTTTATCTCACAGCCATACTTTCTGATTGGGTCATGTGACATATTAACATGTTACAGAGTCATAGTGGCCAATATCTTAGCATTGTCTCTTATTCAAAAATCATGTCCCTTTTAAAAGGAGGCTCAGTGTCTTAACCCAAAATATGTGAGCTTTTAGTCCTTGTGATAAATACATAAGGGGAAAACCTTATTGACACAGAAAATCTGTTGTTGGTTTTTATCAGTCTACTTACACGACTGCGAATGTGACTGAAATATCTTTGAAGAATGTGTCCTCATTTTATTTCTTTTGT